GTAGAAACTTAAATAAATTGAATAATGGCAGTACAGAGCAAATTGCAGAAGTTGTTACGTTTTTCGTGGAGGATAGTTGTAAATGATGTGTTTTTTTTTACTTTTTAAACCCTCTTCATTTTTTGCAACCTAGAAATTTCTTAGCAGCCAAATAAAATTAGTATAATTAGATACGAAAAGGGAGAAGTTGAGTTATGTATCTCGTTACATTAATCCATCAATTCATACAATTCAGCGTGAAACAGTATGCGAGAAATATAATTGTTCCAAAATCTTACTACTGCCGGCCAAGCTTCAGCTTCTGCAGTGCGTCATTGTTGTTCTGTACAAGTTGCAACATTTCACCTATTGTTCCAGACAGAGCTTGTTTTATGTTCTTGAGGTAAGGGGCACCCCTGTCGATGATTTGCCAACAAACGTATAAGTCGCAAAACGCCGAAAAAGCAGCTTTTGAAAAGGAAATTGTTTACTGGTTGAACGGAAGCTGTTGGGGGTATGTAGATCCGATTAGAAAGAATAAGCCGATGTAAACAAAAACAAGAAACGCAAAAACCAAAATTTTGGATCCCAGTCGGTAGCTACCTTGCTGGAACCAGATGGCACAATAAAGTCTGTGCTAATGAAAGGGCAAAGGGCTCCGAAGAAATTTATATGACCTCAAGGAAAAGAAACGTGGTGTGTCGCTGTTGAAGGGCAGCCTCCCGCCCACCGATAGGCTACCCGGGATGCTAGTCACTACCCGTGGAAGTGTAGCAGTTTTAGCAGAGAAGCAGAGCAGAGGGTTCATCTTGATGGCATCAGCACCGATTTGACTCGTTCAAAGCGAAAATCAACGGGGAAAACAACGGTCTTTGCAGTTTCATGGCTCATCCCTTATTTTTTCTTCACAACTGCACCCCGCTCAACTCTAGTGCCATTCGTCTTCAAAAGCGACGTGCATTGCTATTTCTTCAAAAGCGACGTGCATTGCTATTCGATCGTTCAAGATGAAAACGTTTCCCTGATGTTCATGGCAAAAAAGCGGTAGTGACACATTCCGGCGATCTTCTTGATTATTGGCTCTCCCATTTTTACGAATCTTCTCTACGTACGGTATAGTCAATTACGAGTCAATACAAATGATATTGCAAAAGATATGGTGGACACGTTATTCCATCAGATTAGAACCTTGTCGATCCACTTCCGTGAGCGTAACCCTTCATTCAACCCGCTCCTCGTTCCCCGCCCGCTCCCCCTGCTGTTCGGTGGTATTTAAGATTAGAAATGCAACATGATTGCCCCTCACACCAGTGTGCTATTGTTGTTGTCGATGGCACATTCACTTTGATGACATTGCCTTCTGTTGTTTGCTGAAAATGATGGGGAAAGTAATTGCTATGGAATGTCCTGGTGTATTGCTACATTGTTTTGAAAATTCCCTTTTCCTTCCTTAGCAGAAGGATGGTAGCTACAAGAGTCCGTAAGGCCCAGAACGTTATTCTGAAAGAAAAGCAGGGATAACGCGGTCAAGCCATTCCAGGCCCAAACATTCAAACACTTTAGGCTTCACATCGAACGCGCGAACTGAAAGAATATTGGGATAGAAGCACCAACAAACATTGTCATCTCTCTATTTTCCCTTATTTCCAGCACAATTTAAAAGTAGACAACAACGAACAGCGTAACGTTTGGTTTCATCTCTGTGCGTGCGTAACAGCGGCTAGATTTCATTAGGAACAACGCTCATGACGCGAGTTTTAGCAATCAAGTCTGAAGTTGACCATAAGCAGCAGAGTTCAAGGGGATTTAGCGATCTCAAGTCAATGAAATCAAAATCATCGCCGAAAACGCTCAAGGTGGGGGAGGCATGCAGCTAAGCCTTCCTATGCGGAAACTTTCAAGAATGAGCCATGAATGCTCCCTTGTATTGACTACATACCTACACAGTGAAACACCTAGTGAATCAGGAATCTTAAACACTTTTTTTTTGCGAAATTCTTAAGGAGTTCTGACAATCGGAAAAATCTCTTCCCATATGAGTTTTGTCACGATTGGATAGTAAGTTAGAGGTTTGAAGGGTTTCTATTAAATTGCTTCCAAAAAGTAAGCAAAATGACGCTTGGAAAAGGAAGAAACTTATGTCAGGCTATCTGCGGTTTTACAATAGTAACAACTGGGAGATATTTAGCGCGATAACGAAAGAAATCCTTAAGTCTTAGTCAACGAAAAATCGATACGAGAAGGTAATCGAGACTGGTTAAGAAGTATTATAGAATATGGCTAAAGAATCGTTTCTGGTTTAAAAAAAAACATCAAATTTGCAAACGACACGCACATGCAATATGAAGGGAGACCACTGCGTTAATTTAGTGTACGTACTGGGAAAAGGAGATTTTATGAACGGAATAGCTTTGGGATGAGATTAGGACTTCTAACAAAGAGTGGTGTTGTCTTCTTCAAAATATTAGTTCAAGCCCAAAGTCATCTGGGAATCAACTAATCGCCTACTAACTCTCCAAGACGTAAACTTTTAACGCAGTGTTCCCCCTCCAAGGTCCACTAACCAGAAACAGTGTCATGCAGTTACACTTTCCGGACACACCAACAACGAAAGACACGCTCACAACTCACAAGAGTTAAATTTACCTTTCGACGTGCTCTCAGCATTTTCAGCGAAACGATGAGGTCACGAGTTCCCGGCACGCCGGGTTCACCCATTTTCGGTGCCACATAGTCATCGAGTGAGTCGTCTGATGGACACTTTGTCAGTGGCCGCGGGAGGGGTGTCACCCTTGTAGGTAAGCGGAGTGATCCTCGAAAGTGAGGTGAGAAGAACGAGGGGTACATTCTAGCCGGAGGGGTGATTGGTGTGCAACAAGTTGAGCGAGGCTCTGACAGCTGAAAAGAAATTCCTGCCTTGTCGCCTTTTCAATCAATAATATTGATTACTGAAGAGTTCTTTTAAAAAGAGCTCTTACTTGTAGAATGCCCTCGTTTGAGACCATTGATCTCTCAGGAGTTGAGGTAGCGAGAGGACTGAGTGACGGCCTGAAAACAAATGACGTACTGAGTTTCTGGATGATGCTTCCAACTGTCTGCAGCGTTACGCTGTCTCGTGACCGCTCACTTTTACAGTCAGCGGTCACGCGATGACACTGAAAAGGCAAATTGCGTTTTATAGCATTAGAAAAAAACGCACCCAGCCAGTTCGGAACAGGAAGTGCTAACATCGCAAGTGAGCTTCCGAGTAAGTTCAGCCCGTCGTCTAGGTGTTTCGGGTGTGGGCGCCACTTCGCTCAACGGCGTCTGTGGCGGTGCGACAGGCTCAATGGAGATCTTCTTACGAACAACCTCGGCCAGAACGCTCGAGGGTACATCGAACTCTTCTTTAGATGGCGATGAAATCTCCATCTGGAATAGGTAATCATACATGTGAATTTGACTACTGAATTTGCTCCTACTAAACTTGTATTCCAGAGAATGTCCCAGCATCACTTAAAATGTCCTGCGACTTTCAGCGAAAATTTGCGCTTTCTTCGAAGTAAACAAAACCCTTTCAAACAACAATGAGTACATCGGAATGCGACGCGCGCGGTCGTGTTGCAGTCATGAACTCAACGTTTGGTGGTTTCGGGTTTGATTATATCAAACCGTAGAGTGCTCTCGATGTGAGAAGAATGCAACAAAGAACAACGTCTATGGTTCACTTTGCTTCATGGTACTATTTCTGGGAAATATTCCACGCTAAATTACAGGATGACGAAAAAGAACTTTATGAATAACTTTTATCTCATAAAAAAGAAGGCCGATAAAAAGAGAAGACATTCGTAATGATTCTGCTATTACTAAACTGTTCCCTGAGCAAACATGAAATGTGACCAAATATCTATAGCTCGATTAATCTGGTTCGCCGAGTTGCATGCGTGTTAAGAAGCCCAGACAAATGCAGGATTTTTCTGTACTCCAGCAAAAGTATAGAGTGGAAGACAATTTTTCACTACTTACCATTTCTGACGTTCGTTGCAGCTCGAGTCGCAGCGATAGCGCTTGTCCAGCTCGGGCACTCATGGCCGGTGTTGTTGAGAATCCGCTGTCACTGTTCTCCAACTCGGAGGCGAGCGAATCATAAAGCGAATCCACTGAGCCGGACCGCATCGGTGGAGCTGATCGAAATCGGCACAGCTCCTCTTCGGCATCAGAGAACAAGCAACTCAATTCTGCGTAGCGGTCCTGAAAATGGACGCTTTGGCAGGATTTTCTATAATTTTGGAATAATAACAGATACTTTCAAAAGGAGAAGTTATTCGGGATGACCATCTTATATTTGGGTTGCACCATTCATACTCCAGCGCCGAATCGCAGCAGCCATTGTCCTTACGCATTTGTTTCATATGATGGCTTTCGGGGAACTTTCAACGGACAAAATCAGTGTTTTCTGTCCTCCAAAGCGAGGATACGGCACCGATCAGCCATAACGTAAAGATGGAAGAAATGGCTGTGCGGATTCCGATCTACGGATAAAGCGTAAGCTCAAATTAAGAGCTGCTCCACTTTTACACCGAGCGATTAAAATAGTTGAAGAAGATATCGATATATCTATCGAAGATACGATTCCACAGAGAAAAAAAACCGGCACAGACCTGCAGTTCTTTCATCTGCATGCCAAGCTCATTCTGCCTATGTAACGCTTCATCAACCTGTCGACTCAAATCGGCGTTCTCGGCTGTCAGCTGGAAAATGGGATTCGTTATTTGATAGCAAACTAATTTTGAAGGTCATCTAAAAGAGCCTAACATAATTCTGAGAAAAAGTTTTGGAGAGACTTCCAAAGAACTTAATTTGCGTGAATGCGAGGAAAGTATGCTCAATTACCTCGCGCTCACGACTGCTTTTGAGGGAAATTTCCCGCAGCAGTTTTTCGACCACTACAGACTGTGCAGCGTAATCCTCGCCTCTTTCGACAACTTGCGCATGCAGTGAGACGATCTGGAATAGAACAATTCAAATCGTATTTCAAATATTATAGATCAGAAATCATTAAGCAACATATGTGTCCATTTACGCATTACAGATGATCAAAAAGGACCAGATTTCTTAAGATGATGACTTTTATTGAGCGCAGAATTGAAACAAAATCATGAGAAATTTTTTAAAATTCCTCGGGAATCGCAAAGATTCCATAAAATCAAAGTTTCATTCACCTGCTGCTGTGCTAATTCAAACTGCCGTGACACCTCTTCGTATCGACTTCGATCGCGTTCGATTTGTGCCTCCATTTCCTTTCTTCATTGAGAACACCTAGAAAGCCGCGATACTGCGTAAAACAGTAAGTCAGATAACTCGAATGAATTCTGTAAATAAATGTACTGCTTACATCGTGTCTGAGCTTAATATTCTCTAACTTGGTTTTTTCCAAGCGCTTTTTCAGAGAATCATCGGTCGTCTCCCTGAAAACAAATCGCAGTGACCATTAAAAACCCAGAAAAATGCATTCAAATAAACAATACAACGCAACAATAAATGACAAAAGCAATAACAACAGAAGTAAGTAGCTGAAAAAAATTACTAGAAAATTTTAGATTGTTGAAGTGTATGTATGAGATCCGTACGTACTTAAGAAAGTCGCAAAGTACCAAGATAAAATAGACATAGTATAAATATAAACATAAATGTAGGGACAAGTGGAAATACTAACATATTCTTAAGGAAAAATGAAAGATATTTTGTAACCCTTACCGGGTGAAGCCATCATCGTCATAACGGCAGTAGACTCGGAGCAATTCGGCCTTTCGGTCAAGTTCATGCTTCATTTGAACCATTTCCTCAGAGCTTTTCGCTAAGCTTTCCTCGAGGAACTCGGTCCTAAAACCGTCACATGATGATTATGTAAATGAGCCACTCTTCAAAAGTCTCTCACGAACTCTGATGTCTCAGGAAATAAAATGAGTAACAATAAGAACGTACCGCTGCTGCAGGTCTCGATTCTGCTCGAGCAGCGACTGGCCGATCTTGGCGGCGATCTCGAGATCACGATCCTTCTGCAAGCACCAATCGACAAATCAATACAATGAAAAATTGTTATCGATGTTTTGAATACAAACCATTGAAATTTAGGAACTAAATACAGTAGCGCGGAACTGGATCCGCTCCAGCTAGATTCGGCGTGCAAACGAACATCAGACCCCTTGTTGAATTAGAACGATGGGCTACGAAAATCCCTAAGGAGTTCTCAGAACACCAAAGTGGTTGAGGATCGTCGGTAGTTGCAAAATCAGATACAGCACGCGCTGGAGATTTACATATCACATTTTTTTCGAATACGGTATGTGCGAAATGTGTGTGTAAGTGAGACTGTTGCTCGCTATTTGGCGTCGCGAGAATTGAGAAGATTCGTGAGCCGGGGGAAGTATAGGCGATCTACGGATTTGGCGGCGTGGTCAATCATTTGACTTGCGTGAAAAACTAGCATGTTGCAATAATTAGACCGACGTCATAGTCGGCGACGGACCAAGCGATGGAGCGATCGCGATCGCTCCATCGCTTGCCAATCGCTCTCGGTCGAGCGATTGGCAAGCGATTGCGCAATGTGCACAAGCGACGGGCGATTGGCCCCGCCCCCAGTCAATGCAGTCGGCTGCGGTATCGATCGAGCAGAGCCATTGCCCGTCGCTTGTGCACTTTGCAAGCGATTGCGCAATCGCTTGCCAATCGCTCGACCAAGAGCGATTGGCAAGCGACGGACAAGCGATGGAGCGATCGCGATCGCTCCATCGCTTGGTCCGTCGCCGACTATGACGTCGGTCTTAGGGTCAACCTCAATAGCAGAGCGACCTTCCATCGTTATCATACCTGGCGTCATATCGTATACGAAAATCGGCATGCCCGTCGGGCGGAAGATCAGAGTATTGCGCCTGGTGCGGTTCCAGTCTCGAGGGGAAAGCAAGAGCTCCAAGAACTAAGCCTTAGAGGGAGGGAGGGACTCTGCGGTGGGTGAACCAAATGCAGCGTGGGAAAAGTTCGAATGTGCGAGATCACAATAGTCATGAGCCGCTGTATGATTGATCGCATACTAGAAATCGAGCTGAGCGTTTAAAGACGGTGCAAGTAGTCGGCCGACATGCGTATGGTCGACGCGTCATAGCGGTCGGAGATCGTAACGATCGTAACATCGCACCAGCATCGCAGATCGCACAGCATCGGATGTCGTACCTATCGTTCGCATTGGACGTGACGATCGGTACGCATCCGATGCCGTCCGATCGTTATGAGCGTTACGACCGACCGACTATGAATGTGCCCATAGGGGGCCATGTGACACAGCTCGGTTACGTAACTACTTGAATTTTCCACCACAGTCTCTTTCTACAGAGAAGATGGGTAAAGAGCGGCTGAGATATGGTGTGGTTTCTTAGAACCAAACCCGCTGCGGTTTCCGCTTCGAACAATCCTAGCGAATGAATCCATGAATCAGTGGAATGAAGGGAACTATGTAGGTGGAGGGCGGGAGGGGGGTGAGCTATGACGTAAGACAAAAGCTGGAGCATGTTAGGGGATGGGAAACGGTCAGCCTTATACTTCAGGTAAGCTATGGTAACTCAATTTTCACATTCTTGAGTGGGTATTTCGCAGCTTCAGGAGTGGGGGCATGAGCCCAAACTTCAGAGGGGATGAGACCCCAGGGCGGGGGTTGGGTGAACCGCTCACCTTTGAAAATGTGAAGAAAGCTATGTCATTCATACTCGCCATGAGTCCTGAAACTAGTATTCATGGGCGCTCTTACAGTAAGGGAGGGTGCAGGAATTCACGAAGATTATCCGCTCCCGAGCACCGATGAACAAGGGGGAAGGGAGGGGTCGTGTTTCGCCCTTTGATTGGGACCTGCTTCAAAGGATTGACAGTGATTGGGAAGAGCGCGAAAAATGGGGTCTAAACTTTTCGGAGAATTTCCGGAAAAATCGATGAAATTTCCAAGAGTTTCAGAAAATTCTAGATATTCCCCTGAGTGAAGTGTTCATTAGATTGAAAAAATTCACTTCATTACTGAAGTCGACCTTATCCTCGGATACGATCCCTTCAACTCTTAAGATACCCCTTCGAATTCCTTGACCTTGGTGAGCCCTAAATAAGGCCCCCCTCCAAAATCCCAAAAACGTACGACACCCCATGAGTTAACTCTGAGTGGGACTTGCTACCAAAGGGGTTGTCATGTTGCTTGCCCTGTTCTCTAGTCATACTACGTTCGCTGAAATATTTGTATTTTGTACTTTCCACAAATTTGGTTTTTGCATGCACACTTACCCTATGTTTGAAAATGAGAAGAGCGTCGAGTGCAGACCACACACCACAAATGACGACGGCTAGAAAAAGAAAGAAAAAGCCACTTTTTCTTGGCGTCGTCATTTGTGGTGTATGGTCTGCACTCGACTCTTCTCGTTCCCCGAGATTGAGGGTACCTTACATGTACACGTATTTCTCGAGTCTATCCTGCTCGGGTAAGCAAATACATTAAAGCGGTTATTTTGCGCGCGGTATTCCCTATGGCCCAGAATATGTGAGAGCTGACCTGCATGAGTTTCTCGTAGATACAGTCGATCGTGGACGTCGCGTTGGTCGTCGCCGTAGCCCTCGTCGCCCCGATGGCCTCGGTTGACATCCGTGGACGACTTGCCGTCTTCTCTGAAATGACACGAAAAACTGGATTCGCCGATTAACTTCGCATCACGTCACTCTGATAACAACAATGAAAGGTATTTCTCAATGTACAGTAGAAGTATTGAAGGCGTGAAATAAAATCGTAAACGTTTTTTGTCATTTTTTCATGGGAGAATTGAAAAATGCCAGGAACAGATACTTCCAGAACTATGTAGTTATGCTAGATCAAACGAATAGATTCCGGGGTTCGGAAAGAACACTTTCATGGGTCTGTCTAGAAAAGGCTGTTTTCTTATTTATTTTGAAGGGCTCATTACACATTGTAGGAAGCACAGAAAATGTTTCATTCTCGCTGAATGGTTTCAGAACTACTAAGGTGAAAGATAGTGTTAATGGTTCGATTCCCCGT